TTTTTGGGGGGTGGTTAATGAAAGTGTTCCAAAACTCGACATAAATTTCTTGACGACCTAATATAATTAGTCCTGTATTAAAGCGAAATATTTTCGATTTAAAACCAGTTCGTAGAACCAGTATGATGGATAAGATGCCATGTTTTGTTATCTACTGTAGTAGAACCAACGTTATGGAAGATATATCATTTTTTATTATCTACTCTAGTAGAATCAATATGGTGGATAAGATGTTATGTTTTGTTATCTATCGTGGTAGAACCAATATGATAGATAAGATGTTATGTTTTTTTATGTACTGTGGTAGAATCAATATTGTCGATAAGATGTTATCTACTGTGGTAGAATCGGTATGATGGATGTAATGGCATGTTTGGTACTTGTGGTGGAATCAACATGAAAGAAATACTACGTTTTGACATCAACTGTGGTATAATCTTACAATGAAAAATATATATACCATATTTCGTTACTTATACGCGTAAAAAAGTTGCATGATGTCTTCACAGGTTCCTCGCTATGGTTACATCCATCCCAGTAACAAAATCCGTGCATTATCATCGGACAATTTAAACATGGAAAACGGTATTGGTAAACATTTGTATTACATTTTCATTAATGTAACCGCGGCGTTCAAACATGGGTAATCATAGGATACCTTCTTGTCTTACTTAACATTGTGATAATACATATAATATGTAAGTCGCGATGGTGATATGATGTCTTTAATAGAGTGTCATGTATTATCAAATGTTGCACTGTCCAAAAGGAAAAAGCAAAGTAAGTTTAAATATTTTAGGTGGTGGTGGCACACTCATACTACAATTCTAAATATGTCTTTGTAAGAGTCAAATAAATACATTTTTGAACATCCTGGCCAAGTGAGACCTTTAAATTAGCATTCGTCTAAGCTATATGTATATTTTTCTATGTATAGTGATTTACAACTGTTGGTAAAAAAACAACAAAAACAAAAATTAGTTTTGTCTGTTTGCTGTTAAGCTACACCGTGAGCAACTATTTGTGACGTGCCCATTACGGGTATCGAAATCCGTTTTATTTTGCATTATAAGCCGTTAGACTTGCCGCTGAGCCACTGGGAAGGAAACTATTAATAACGCTAAAAACATATCATCTTGAAACTTATCTATCTAACGCTGATTGAAATAATTCAAGGTATTTGTTAAAATATAAGAGGCTAAATCAGGCAGGTGGTAGCACTGTCTATATAGGGATGGCTCTGATTGTTCATCGAAATGGTATTTTAATTATCTCCTTAATAGGTCATCAGAAATTTACAATACTATACAGTGTTTTCTTTTATAACAATATCTATGTAATGACTGAGTCAC